TTTTCTGATTATACATGCTGGTCAACGCTGCATGGCTTTAGATTTGCTGACTATCTTTATTAGAGATTATTTTTGATCACAAGGGAGAATGTTCAGGAGAATTATCAAAAATTTGGAAATGAGGCAAAAAGAGAATTGTATTGCATTTTGTTTTTTGGTTGCATGAATTTTTCATGTAATCCCAAAGCATCGACTAACGAGCCCCCTTAAGAGTCACCTAACTTTCTAGATGAGTGGACTTTGTTTACGGAATTGATTGGGCACTAGACATTCTATAATTGTGTAAGATGAATAAGATGCGATGATTTTCTTCTCTTTCAGTAGGGAAGATGATTCTGAAGCATATGTTTTCATGGTCATATGTGACATTAACCAGTTGTGTATATAACTTAGCAAACTATAAGAATTACGTTTTTAAATTTCTGTAAATTGTATTTGACCTCAGGAGACAGAAACACAGTAGTATATGGGCCAGTCATATTATTGGTGGACCATCAGATGAAGATCCACAAACTCCTAGAGCTTCTACAAATCCAAACCCCACCCCCCACACGACCCAGACACTTTATGGCCTAATATTTGATCCTGGATTTGCATGAGTCTCTTTATTGTTCCCTCATGTATTTTTACTTGAATTGATCTCATCCCAGGCAGGTCTCTCTTTCTTCTATAACCTGACCTGTCTCCTAGACACCATGAGCTTGTGATCCCAGGTGAAATTTCTAAGTCCACTAGCTCAGTAACTTCCACTGATCAAATGGCAGGCTTTCGCAATTTTTCTCTTCACTTTATCTTTGGGAATTCCATAGGTAACCTGGGGAATGGGGGTAATGGCTCATCCTAAATGAACTGTTTTTAAACTCAGCTTTCCAAATAAACATAAATAAATAAAAATTAAATTTAAAAAATAAAATAAATAAATGCAAATAAAATCAGCTTTCCCCATTCTTCAGACATATAATACACACTCTGTTGAAGGCTGATGTTTTTTTCAGTCACTCTGTAATTTCATGGGCCCAGACTCACAGAGTTTAGGAAATAAAAGAAACACTGACAGAAAAGTAAAAGCTCATTACTCAATTTTTCCTTGGGCTTTCCGAAACACAGTGGTACCACATCATATCCAGGACCTTCAATGGGTTGAATGGTGGCCTCCTATGATCTATGTCTATGTCCTAATATCTAACCCCTATGAACGTGACCTTATTTGGAAAAGGAATCTTTGTGGATTAAGGCTTTTGAGGTGAAGTCATCCTGCATTACCAGTGTAGTCCTTAATCCAATGATAGATGTTCTTATAAGAGACGTAAGAGGAGGAGACAAAGACACAGAGGTCCTGTGAAGATGGAGGCAGAGATGGAAAAGACCAGCTGCCAGTGGAGGAATGTAGACAACCATCAGAGGCTGGAAGTGCAAGGAAGGAAATCTCTTTTAGACTCAACCAAGAGCCTCTTGGAACTAATAAAGACACATAGCAACTTCTCAGGATACACAAATCAGTAGCCTTCATATCTGCCAACAAGCAAATCAGAGACGTAATACCTTCATCACAGTATCAACGAAAATGAAATATCTTTGAATATATTAACAAAGGATGTGAAGAATCTCTATAGAGAACTAGAAGACTCTGAGAAAAGAAATTGCAGAGGATTTCAACTGATGGAAGAACATATCATGCTCATGGCTCGGAAGAATCAACATTGGTAAAATGTCTGTACGTCCCAAAGTGATATACTGGATCTTTCAAACCTTCACTCTGAAAGGCAATAACCAGAATAACAAGGCCTTACCAATTTCCATCTAGTATTCATGACTGGTATTGAGTACATTTTCTAATTTTTCTGAGTTTTAGATAATTCTCCTTAATACCACCCTATGAAACCCCACTTCCTCACTGGTCATGCTGTCTTTTCTGTTTTCTCATAACGTTGGATAACAGCAAGCTTTGGTCTGCCATGGACTCGGGGCATTGGTCAGCATT